CCTATGGACATGGTAATGGTTGAACTTGACCCTACCCCGGAAGGTAAGGCCATCTTCAACCTAAAGAGGGTCTGTGGGCTCAATGACTTAGTCATCGAGCCCGTTGTGTTGACAGTTTGGCCACACGGCAAACAACAGCTTCGCTCACCCTAGGTGCGTCAAATGCACCGGTGACCACGGCACATCCGAGTGCACGAGGCCTAAAGATTGCGCAGATCCACCGGACTGCGTAAACTGTCACGCTACCGGCCACCCCGGCTAGTTATAGAGGCTGCGCCAAGGCCCCGAAAACCCCCGCGAGAAAATCTCCCGCGAAATCTACGTTGCCCAAACCTGCGCCCGTTAAATTCATTCCCGCACCCGTACCCGTCATAAACGCCTGAGCGAAACCCCAGGTGGCCGCGCAGGTAACCACGCCGGTAATCCCGGTCGCCTCACGATCGATCGCACAATCGCTGCCCGCCTGTCAAACGGCGCTGCGGCCGCAGGTGCAGCCAACTCCGTCGGTTTTCGCGGAAAATAAAGACGACCCATTCGCGCAAATCGCAAACATCTGCAGCCTATTAGACACGATCAATAGGCAGGAACTCGCCGTATTGTCCGCTAAAATAGCGGCCGCTTCATCTGGCAACGAGCGTCTTAGGGCAATTAGCCAACATAAAACGCTTGTGGAAGCCCTTTGGACTTTTACGAGCCAACCGTAAAAAACAATAGTCCGCGCAATAAAACCGCGCTCCGCCGCGTCGTTAATTAGGGCCATAAAAACACCTTAATGGGAAGTACAGCCGCAGGTAGAACAAAACCTCGGGCTCTGGTTGTTTCGTATTTCAACGCAAACGGCATAAAGTGTCAAAGGGACGAAATCGCGGAATTCCTTCACGATTATAACGTAGATATTTTTCTAGTGCAAGAGACATTCTTGAAGCCTAGTGTACGCGATCCCAGAATCGCAAATTACAACATTGTCCGCCACGACCGCTTAGCAAACTGTCTGGGAGGCACATTAATTTATTATAAACGGTCCTTGCACTGTTGCCCTCTCGACATTCCAGAGCTAAGTCAAATAGAGGCATCCGCGTGTAGGTTAGCGCTCACCGGCCACAGGCTGCTTGTACTAGTCTCAGCCTACCTCTCGGGGAATAGAACCTTACTTCAAAGCGACCTAGATACGCTACTTAACTTAGGCCCTTCCGTGATAATTGCAGGAGATCTAAACTGCAAACACGGCTCATGGGACACTAACAGCATCCCAAATAACAACGGAAAGCATCTCTTTAGCTTATCCGATAACCTAAACTTTAGCATAGTCCCTCCCGCGACTCCCACTAGGTATTCTACGGTGGACAACTACCAACACGCATCACCGAGTGTCCTAGACATCATGTTATTCAGGGAGGTCTCGCTCGACATCGAGTCTATAGAGACAATCCATGAACTAGACTCAGATCAGAGGCCCGTCCTGTGTAAACTGGGCCAGAACGCCGGCGCGGTCCCTCCGACCAAATCCGTAGTGGACTGGCATCGTCTTGAGGTCAAACTCAAGGCCTTGGACCCCCAGGACTTAGTAGACCTACCCGACACGATAGCTACGTTCGATGACGCAAATTGAGCGATAGCGAGTCTCCGAGAAACTATTACTTCCGCAGTCACAGACTCGGAACGGACGGTGAAACTGTCGGGCGACCGACGGTTTAACTTTCCGCTCGACCTAAGACTGCTAATTAGACAGAAAAATGCAGCCAAACGCGCCTTCGACGGATACCGATCGGAATCGAACCGAACCCTACTTCGACGCCTTCAGCTAGAAGTCAAAGATCGTGTATCGGAACACCGACATACAACGTGGGACAATCTCCAAGAGGACATCGAGCCATCGCACACCGCCTACTGGCGGTTGGCCCGCAGTCTGAAAGCAGACCCCGCGAATCTCTACCACCGTTAGTTAGACCTAATAGCGCTTCAGTAGCCCTAGATGACTCCGCAAATGCCGAATGCCTTGCGGACAACCTAGAGCAGCAATGTACGCCATCGCGCGAACACACCGATACAGTCCACCTAACGGAGGTGGACCGCGTAATCGAGACTAGGGCTGCGCTTCCACCGGAAGGCGAACCTTTAAATTCAGTGACCCCCCGAAGAGGTCCAAGATATTATTAAAAATCTAAAACCGAAATCCGCCCCGGGCCCAGATAATATCAGTAAAAAAATTCTTAAAGCTCTCCCTGGGCCGCTTATCTGTTTACTGGCGACCATTTACAACACTTTACTCTCCAGTTGCTCCTTTCCCGACGACTGGAAAGAAGCCACGGTTATCGGCATTCGCAAGCCGAATAAACCAGCCAACCAGCCCTCTAGTTATGGTCCCATCAGCCTCCTCAGTTGCCTGGGGAAGCTCTACGAGCGGCTTTTATTAAACAGGCTCAATGAACACGTGTTTACCAACGGCCTTCTGCCGGCGGAACAATTTGGCTTTCGAGCTAGGCATTCCTGTCCCGATCAACTATTCCGCCTAACGGAACATATCCTAAAAGGCCTAAATCACCCTAAACATATTAGTACAGGGGCTCTTTTCTTCGATGTCGCAAAAGCATTCGACAAGGTCTGGCACAACGGCTTGCTTTACAAGCTGTACACACTCAAAGTGCCAGATAGGCTCGTACACACCATCCGGGCGTTCCTGTCAAACCGCTCTTTTCGATATCGAGTTGAAGGCACCCTCTCCACAAGCCGCCGCCTCACGGCCGGCGTACCACAAGGCTCCTGCCTCTCTCCTTTGCTCTTTACGCTCTACACGAGCGATATACCTAAAGACCCCCACGTCAATCTCGCGCTTTTCGCGGATGACACGGCGCTCTTTTATTCAGACCGCAATCTTAGACAACTAACCACTCGACTCCAAAGCGCCGCCGACCGCCTCGGCGACTGGTTCCGCAAATGGAGAATAGAAATAAATCCCGAAAAGAGTGTAGCGATTCACTTCACACGAAGTACTTACTCGTCACATCTTTATAATGGTCCTCGCCAAAGCAGAAAGTTGGGGCAATTATCCCTTTATGGCCAACCGCTCCCCTGGGAGAAAAAGGTCAAATACTTAGGAGTCACTTTCGACTCGCGTATGTCATTTACTACGCACATTAATAACGTTCGTAATAGAGCCGCGTTCGTCTCCGGCCGGCTACACAATTTAACTAACGCTAAAAGTAAAATGCCCTTAAGGCACAAATTATTATTATATAAGACCTGCGCACGACCTATTATGTCCTACGCATGCATGATCTTCGCCCACACGCACCCTACTCGCTTGTACAAGCTGCAAATAGTACAAAATAAGTTCATCCGCCGTGCAACCGGTGCGCAGTGGTATCAACGCAACGTCGATCTGCACAGCGATTGCAGACTCCCGACGATTCGCGAATATTTTAAAGACCTGACCAAACGGTTCTTCGATAGAGCCGAACATCATCCCAACCCTCTGGTGGTAAGCGCAGCAAATTACCAACCCGACACAAACGCGAACGTCAACAAGCGTCGCCCGCGAAACGTCCTCATCGACCCGGTCGAGGAAGGGGACTTAGATACGCCGGACCCACCGCCGGGGGTCTCGCCGGACAACACTACACCCACAGTTAGTGCACGGCGAGACCAACACAACGCGTACACAAGGTACACCCGCGTTCCAGGGCGGTTCTCACCGCCCCCAGCCATCGATTAGCTAAAAACACAGTCGACGGCCATCGGGGTCTCGGTCCGCACCGCAACTTCGATGGCCCTTAGATGACATGTCGTAGTTAAACGCACGCATGAGCACATGCGCGGCCCTACCCACAGCGGAGGGCCCAAACCCGTGGGTTCTGGATAGCCCACCGGTTCTGTGTCAGATGAAGCCTTAATAGTCTCGGGACTGAAAGCAAAAACATCAGTTAATACAAGATACAAGATACAAGCAATAATCATAAAAAAATATTAACGTTAATCAAAATCCATAATTAAAAAAACTATTTTTCAAACAAACTAATTAAGTAAAAAAGAAACAAAATTTGTAACATCCTATACAACTCGCGCCACCGCGTCGCATTACAAGCCTCTCCTTCTAACAGTATGTTTTGTCTCTTTTAAATTCATTCAACCCATTCATATGCTTTGTGACCTTTACAAATGAACTTTACGTTACAGTTTTATACATAAGGGTGTTCTAAAATTGTTTGTTTTGGAAAATTTAATAACTCCGTAAATATTTATGTTTAAAGAATGTAAATGATTAATACAATTTTAAAAAGTTATCCTCTATATGTGTGTTCATATATTGTCGCGGTGGTAACGACACGCTGTATACAGTACAGTCAACCTTGTAGTTCCGGCTCCTAGAATATGCCTATGGCATGCCTCGTTTGCTGTCAAAGGGGACATGGGGGCGCTAGCTCACTTGCCACCTGCCAAGTCAGCTGGCGGCTCACGTGATGTTAAGTGATAACCGCCGCCCATGGACACTTGCAACACCCGCAGGATTGCAGATGCGTTGCAAAACCAAACAAAACGCAGAAGTATAACACGACCACTTCACGCCGGTCTTTCGTCAGGTCGTGGTAGTTACCTGGACGGACCTGCTCATTCGAGCAACAGCCGAAGTTGCTGCGTGGCCCTAGCACAGTAAAAACATGTTCAAGGGTGTGACAGGAGGAGAAACCGAACGTACAATCCGGTTTACCCGGTGATGAAGGCAACACGAAATGGCCACACCTAAAGTTAGCGCATAATGACGTAGAGGGGCTACTAATAGTAATCTTAAAACTATAAACCGTTCATTTATAACACTACTAGTTTATAATACTTAAACATTAAAAGTGTTAACGTAAAAATAAATCTCTTTAACATTAAGTGTTAACATGAAACTAATTTGTAAGAGGATGCTAAATGATCACAAATATCAATATAACTATTTTCAACGTCTCGGTGGTATTACGCCGCGATGAAGTTTCTTAATTAGGTATCATTAAACTCACCCGACTGAAGCCCGCCTCCAGGTACGGCAGAACGGCGAAGTCATCCTTCAGGTAAGCACTGGAATAGAGAAACTTCGTTACACTTCCACGAACGAGCTCATCGCTTCAATATCCGTACCGTAAAGATAAGTACTGGTGGATGATAAAAATCCAAATTGTTGAAATAAACAAGTTACAAAATGTAAAGTATACAGGATTATTTAGAATGTAGGCTGCTCTTGCGTTTAGTTTGGAGAGTGAGGTAGCCGGGACCAGTGGGTAAAGGGAAGAGAGTGCTCTTAAATGTTCTTAATGCAAACGCAACCCCACGGAAAGAGATAACAAAGAAAATATATTTATTTAACAGAAATAGGACGCGCACAGCAAATATTTAACAAAAAATAAAAGAAATAAAATTTTAATAACACACGCTAAAGTAAAATAAAACAAAATCAACACATAAATATAAAATACATTGAAATTTAAAACTGCTGCAAGATAAAACGAACGAAATATACAAAAATTTTTAACGGTAAATAAAAAAATATTGTACGTCCTATTATTGGGTGTTTATGACAGGTGCTTATTATAATAACGTCCATGCGTCGTGGTACCGAAACCGAACCACCTTCTCATTTGCCGTAGAAATAAAAAAATGTAACTATGCCAAATGTTGATTGCCATGCCATTGGTACGTTCTATCGTTACTATAGACTAGAGTGATGACTTTTAAAATAAAGGATATTAAAAAAGAGGTGACAAAAAATTATGATAAAGTAATATCTTAATTAACTATTCAATGTGTACAGAACAAAGAAGGTTTTATAAAAACTAAGTTGTTCATCAACGCGGTTAAAGCGTAGACGGGTTTTGCGTTCAAAGCAAAGATTGAAAAAAAAATTGAGCAGTACACGACGAAAGGGGACTTCAGAACCTGCTAAACGTCATACACTGACTAATTTAAGTGAAAAGTTCAAAGGGGTGTGCGCAGAGCTATACATAGAGTTCGTAGAAGTTTTATGACTTTTCCCCTGCGCTTTAATGTTTGCAATGTGTGCCGATTAGCTCCCGTTCAAACGTTTGTAATGTCTTGTTACCATTCATATTATATTCGTATGTTTAGATGAGGACTCCGTGGCGCAGTTGCCAGTAATGGCTTCGGCGCCGGGGGTCGTGGGTTCGATTCCCACACGGGACAACTATTTGTGCGACCCACAGATAATTATTTCGCATCTGGGTGTTTTGTTCACTTGAAATTTATGTTTGTAAAACGTCCCTACAACACAGGATAATATTATCCTAAAGTAAGGGCAATGTTTAAAAAAAAGTGCTTGTCAGCGTGTACTGGAAAGTGCAATAAGTATTTACAAAACCCTGCTGGTTGCCTTAACTTAGATTAAATAGAATCGTAGCTCATTTTAGTTAATTTAAAAGAATTTGGGTTATCTAAACGTTGTAGTGATTTTGATGTGCAGTAAAATAGAATAACTGACTAAAAACAAATAGACTGAATAATAGGAAGGGAATAGTATTTTAAGAACTGGAGACCGACGCATATCACAGATGTATCTTTGCTCCAGATTTCTTTACCGTCGGATATCCAAGCACTTCGGCGGTTGTATTAATAGTACGCATGATGAAGTACCAAGACCTCATAAAAGACCACAGTTAAACATTAACTGACAATACATCTGCAACTCTACGTGAGGCGTGTTAATTCTTGGGCGATAATAATCACATCACGCAGGTACAACGCTTGTTCGTTTGATACCATATTCCATAAATAAAAACAAATTAATAAGTTGTTCGGAAATTTTGTTGCCGAACTTATTACTCTGGGTCTACGAAGTTTTGACCGTTTGAAGTGTGGGCTGTGGTACTAGAAAATTGCGGTTGAGGGTTGCGTTAATGTACATAAGTCGGCCGCTGAATACCGCCGAGCTAGTAGTAGTTGCTTTTATATTTCGTTGTTCGCTTTAAACGTTGAACAAAAGTTTGTAATTTGGAGCTGTAACTGTGTTATAGCGTGTTTACAGACAACCAAAATGTTCTATGAAACACATGGCTATGTTAAAATACAAATAAATTCGTGTAAGCATATGATAAAATATTAAAAGTTCAAACAACAGAAATAAGCCCCCACTACATATACTTATATAAAAACAAAGCTTCCAATTAAAATTATTTTTGAACTTTTTTAAAATTTTTACCAGCCAATTACAATTATTTTTGGGTCACACAAATACTTGTTACATACATTTTTAATTTATAGTTCGTGATTTCAAATAACAGAAAGTTCGAATAATTATGCATGTGACGAATAGTTAAAATTATTACGTCAAATTTCAAGAGCGTGGTTTAACTTCACCGCCGCTAGGAGGCAATGGAACGGAAATTATGCAGCCAAAGAATGTTCTGCGTAACGTTCGCACGTTAATACGAGTGAAAAGCCGTACAGCTTTTTAGTGTCCGCCGACAAGGGATCACTTTGTGGGCTCTTTATGGACCGTAAAAGGGATTGCTTCATTAAACGGTTTGTAGGCGGAACGCGGGATATTGCAACGCGTTTTCTGGAACAGAGAGTTACAGCTTACAACAATCGGTTTGATTCCGAACAATTTCGTTGTTGGGCGTTGGCGCGATTGTTTTCTTAAGTAATATCACGTTCCGCTGTTCGTCACGAAAAAACCCGTTGTAGTTTGATTATCTTATTTTCTTGGTAAGGTTAAATCAAGTGCAGAAAACGCAGGATCTTTTAGATTCATTAGATGGTTCAATCGAAGATTCTTTTGGTATATATTTAAAAACTTTAAGCTCGGCGGATATTATATCGTTCGTTATCCTCGTGTATATCGTGGGGCGTAAGTATATTTAAGCTAAGGATAGTCTTTCTACGACAATTAGCATACTCTTGACTTAGGTAGTTGTAGTCGAGGAAGGGGACTTAGATACGCCAGACCCACCGCCGGGGGTCCCGCCGGATAACACTACACCCACAGCTAGCGTAACAACAAACACAATAGTTCGCCCACGCCTCCGAGCACGGCGAGACCAACACAACGCGTACACAAGGTACACCCGCGTTCCAGGGCGGTTCTCACCGCCCCCAGCCACCGATTAGCTAAAAACACAGTCGACGGCCATCGGGGTCTCGGTCAGCACCGCAACTTCGATGGCCCTTAGATGACATGTCGTAGTTAAACGCACGCATGAGCACATGCGCGGCACTACCCATAGCGGAGGGCACAAACCCGTGGGTTCTGGCTAGCCCACCAGTTCTGCGTCAGATGAAGCTTTAATAGTCTCGGGACTGAAAGCAAAAACATCAGTTAATACAAGATACGAGAAGAGGTAGTTGTAACCTTAATTAAAGACAATCTAAACTCAAAAGGCGAACAACACCTTTAGGTTATGGGCACATACGAGTATAATAAAATTTTCACTATTTAACCATTCTTAATCTGTTTTTGTGCTTTATACAAAAGGTTTGATTTCAAAAGGATTCAGGCATAGATTTCTATATTAGCTAAAGTCAGTACCGCGTGCACGGAAAGTATCTAATACAACCGTTCTGTTACTGAGAAAGTTATGACGTAAATTCGATCCCAACGTACCATAGTGGATTGTTTGGAATCCTGTGGGCGGGATCCTTGATTTTTCAACTCATACGACACACATACATTGTAAAATTCTTACTAGTATTACTTTTTTAATGTAAAAAGATGCCAAGTGAGCTGGTGGTTCACCTAATGTTAAGTGATGGCCACCGCCTGTGGACAATTGCCACACCCGTAGGGTTGTAAGTGCTTTGCCATCTTTCAATTAAATGGGTCCCGGTTACTTCACTCACCAGGCGAAATTCAGAAGTATAATAGCACGTCCACTTCAAGTCGGTCTTCTGTGAGGTCGTGGTACTTCTCCGGAAGGATCTTCCCATTCGTGCAACGACGAAGACTGCAGCGTAGCCCCAGTAATAATATTAAGAGAATTCTGTACTTTCTTACGGTCGGTTTCTATATTCTATATACAGATAGATATTTTTACTAGCGATAGGTATTTCACATTAACTTCAGACATTAACTCTATATATATAATACATAAGTTAAAACTCTATTACGAGTAACCGAATCTATCTGTAGATCGAATATTGAAACCGGCCGTTAATGTTATTACTGTGACTAGTGTTCTTAAAGATATCCAAACAAATCCAATTTTTTCGTGTTATATTATGCACGTCTAGTATTTATGTCGAAACAGACGTACAGGAAATTTTGCGTGTCGTTATTGGAAATAAAAGGAGAGACATTTTTAAATTTATACGCGGAAGCGGAAGAGTCGACGAGAGACTCCTTAGGCGAATGTATCGACCAAAATGCGACATAAAGTACAAAGGTCAATTTGATGGGGAATTCTTGCGTGTACTCAAACACCTACATACTTAATTGTAAGGCGAGAGTACAATAAAGATGGCTTTCAATATTCAATAATATGTGTCAAATGTCATCAAATAGTTTATAGAGAAACTAGGGTTATTTAATAAGATATTTATTATCTCGTTAATCAAAACTGTTTCTTCAATTGTTCTGTAGCTCTTAACCGAAGTTTTTTGTTTAGTTATATATAATATAACAAAAGAAAAAAACAATTGCAAGTTCATTGAAACAAATTGTAGCAGACAAATGAGTTAGCCGCTTACAATGAAGACGCCAAGAGACGAAGTGGACGAGAAAATTAAACAAAAAAAAAAAAGGAAATCGCGGCGAAAACGTATTTATGACTCGGCGACATAACATAAAGCCCTAAGCGGATTGCATTTTAAAATATGCAAAGCGATATCGATCGATCGCGCCGCGTACAACATTTCGATAAGTGTAAATCGATAAACTGGTGCTGTCGAAATGGCGCCGGCAGTAATCCCTCGATTTACGGCGCGTCGTCAATCAGTGCCCATCGATTTTTCATCTTTATCGATTGTAAGCGTTTTCGCTTTCGCTTTTATGGGCTTTTACAATCTTTCATCAGATTTGAGCTCAACGCAAATGCTGGTTTTCGTATGACACCACCACAAATATCACCACC